CATAAATCTTGATTAATATTGTTCCCAAAGGACGTGGATTTCCGGAAGACGTTTTGTTCTCGTATAAATATGATAAATGTTCAGACGTGCTTTTAAAAGTACCCTTTTCATTTACCCGCTTTATTGTTACAAAGAAAACGTCTCTACGTATAAAACATAACAATTTTAAAAACCTATATAATTATTTGATAAATTACATACTAATATCCCACTGTTAGGAGAATGTTATTAGGTTATCAGGGTACTTTACAATTCTGCCTATGGATTAGTCGTGTAGCCGTGGAAGGAAAGAAGAGATTCTCCCGCCGGGTAAGGTCTTCTGTCGTGGAGCGGTCAAAACTCCGAGTTGTAGTTGGGAGCTATTTTTTAAATATTGTTTTTACTTCGGAACTTTGATAGCGCGATTTAGGCTTCGATGTGTTTCGCTTGTGGCGTGGTGACAGCGCCGCCACATTGATGTGAAGTGGTAAATATCCTCCTTATGAGGCAATCTATATAGAAAGCCTGTATTCAGCAGTAGACCCATATATATATATATATATAGTTATATTATATAGTTATACCGTCTGGAAAAATAGTGTGTAACAGGTGAACGAAATAGAAGTCTATGGCACTAATATTTTACAATTTTTTTGCTCTTACATTAACATATTATGAAATTGATCTATCAATAAATACTATTAATTGGGTACGTATTATTTTAATTTCTATACTTTTTGATTGATTTTGTTGAGTTCAAAAATTTTGCTGTTATTTTTTAGTACCTAAACTTTATTTCAAATTAGTAGTATTTATTGATAGATCAATTTCATAATATGTTAATGTAAAATAAAATAAAAATTGTAAAATATCAGTGCCATACGCTTCTATTCGGTTCATCTGTAACCTACTTTTTTCAGACGGTACAAAAAAATCACTCAGTATTTTAAGCGATTAAAAAGGTTTTTGGTCTAGATTGTTTGCTGTTTATGGTACGATATAACTAGTTATGTTTACAATTTATCTAAAACTAAAAAAATAACCTAAATCTTTTTGAAGGTGTGTTGTTGAAAATAAAATAAATGTATTTTTACAAATGAAATATAATACAGTCGATACTGGATATACCGCTATCGTTTGGAAAGACCGATCGGTTATTGCAACAAAGTGGCCACTTTTTATTTGCAAATATGTAAGTCTATTTTAGCTAAAACCGATTTTTAAATTTCTTAAATATCATGAAATTGTATGCATATTTTTATCAATTTACACGTGGTAGAACTATGCTGCAGCTATATTAAGGTTGTGGTACGAATAGTTGGCTCGACCGGGTAAGAACCAAGCTCTGGCAAATGGCAGTTTAATGCTGCTATGTTTCGTGTGGTGAGTTTATGGAACCGGAGACATTTTTACTGGGAACGAAGCATTTCATCTTAGTAACAGGGACGACAATGCATCCGAAATTTGATTCTTATTCAAGGATAGAAGTAGATTATAGGTATATGGGCCGCAGCATCGACTTAACATCAAATGAATTGTGAGCTAGTTCGTCACCGTTATTCGATAATAAAAATATTGCTTATCACAACTATCGGATATAGCGTCCATAATTGAATTGTCGTTCCATTGTTGTTATGTAATTTTTCAACTGCAGTTGTATGTAAATGTAGTAGTTGTAATGAATAAAGTGTGTAGATATGATGGTATACCTACTCGTTAGTAAAAAATTTACAATAATTATAATTTGTGATATTTCTTGAATAATTAGCTTTTGCCAAGAGATCCATCCCCATGCATGCATGCAGCAAAAACAAAACACCGCTTTTTTAATTTGTTAAAATCCTTTTAACTCCTCATTGTTATGCTACTGTTCAAGTTGTCGTATCTGTTCCTTTGTAATTTTTGTCCTGACACAAAAAAAAATTAACGCAACGTGTAAAGCTAGCTATCTCATTTACTCTCTTAATCGTCATTCAAACTCATTAGCGCAACTTGTATACATAATGCAGATAAAGGGTTACCATATGCAAAGGATTACCCGGTGACTGAATTTTAAACACCATTTTAATGACAGTAAATTTTCTTTAGTAAAATGAAATTGATTAGTACAATTATTTAATAAATAGTAATAAGTTAGCTTAAATCCTAACTCTAAAGTTTCGGTTACACGCAGCGACTTGCACGCGCGAAAAATTTGTGCAAAAAGTTTTTGCAAAGAGCATGTGTGGTGTTTTCACGCCGTCTTAACGTACACGGTTGTACGTTAAGATGCCGTGAACAACTTGTTTGAGCAAGTTAAGCATTTGTGTAAGTCATTTGCACGGTATACCGTTTTACTGGCTCAACGTAGATGCTTGTTTGTGCAAGTAAGATTGAGTGTGTAACCGACACTTAAGTTACTGCATGAGCATATTACGTCAGTGTCATATAATAAATGACAATGTTACCAACACAAAATTAAAGTCGCTAGGCAATATGTTGAGAATGCACCATTTGTCTCGCAATAAATAACGAATAACGGCCTCACTAATAATCGTTGATTATCGTTTACCTAAATTAACTATTAATTATCTATATACCTGTCACTTTCTTTTGTCATTTAGTAAAGAGAGAGAGAGAGCAAGCAAGGAATTGTTTGGAATAATTCCAGCCGCTTAATTTCATCATCGCACATCGCGACAAAACTCACGATACCATACAAACCATCTGGATTATTGGCGGTTCACCACTATGTGATTTACAAGAAGTTTTCTTCAACGCACAACTTACTTGTGGAATCGACTACCACCAGCAATTTTTTGGACCGATACCACTTTAAAAAAGAGCCTACTCTTTTTAAAAGATCGGCAACGTATCTGCAATTTCCCCAGTGTTCATTTATCGTAGGTGACGGTAGTCACATACCATTAGGGGAGCCGCATGCTCGTTTGCCCCCTCTTATTGAGAAGAATAGACTCTCAATTTAAGTATTTCTTAAATTGACGCCAATTTTTATGAGTAAGGTATTGCATACTACGGTAATATATCTAAATGTAAAAACAATGCTTCACAAAATTAATATCACGAGGTGTTAAATAATGAAAAATTCTCTATTGTTCAAATACCCTCAATATTCGCTTGGTACGGCGAGCTTTTATTGCAGCGCTGTCGAAACAAGAAGCGACCTAAATTATGAGGAAATTGTTCACCGATATGAAATATTACGTCACTGATAATAATGAGCTACTTCACCATTCTTCATTCACAAACTTGCCAAACGATAGCAAATAGAGGTTAATAGAAAATACACAACATCTGTCATATTAATCACTGCAGAGCTCCGCGCGGGTCAAACGCTAACGGAATTCAATTTATTTTCGGTCTACGTTTTGATTTCCCGTGTGAATTCAGTTTTGCTTCAAAGTTGTAACTAAACAGAAAAGGGGGAAACGTAAGCGTATTGCAGATTACTGTTCTGTTGCAATTGCGATATTAAATTACATTTTAACGTCCATTTTTTTTTCTCAATACCGTCAATGTTTTTCTCTAGGTGGTAGGACCATCCAAATCTTAATACCTAGGAATCGGTTTCGGTGGGTATCACTCTCTTCTTTTATATATTAAAAGATATTACCTAGAAATCTATCTCGTATCTATCTATATAAAACACAAAAATGTTTCCACCTATGTCCTTTATAGACTTGGAAACCATCCAACCGATTGTGATAATTTTGTGTGTGTTTTAATGGATCCCTAGGTGGTTAAATATTCATATTTGCACCCGGTAGGTGGTGCCATTTTCGTGATTCAGAAGTCTCCCGTGTGAAGCCGGGACAGATCGCTAGTCTCATATAAAACACGCCACCCAAGAAAAGTTTGTGAAAAAAATGTATTTATATGGACACTGCCAAGTCAAAATTATGTATGTTTCTATTTCAAATTTCGTTCCGCATTTTTAACGAGCTAAATTGAAATATCGTGTTTCATTGAAAAATGGATATGCGTCGGGAACATTTTCGCGCGATGTATTTTTACGATTTAAATGTCGACTTAAACTGGGCGGATCGTTTGATGGACTTTAAAATTATGGCATTTATGGATAAAAGACCATCTCAGATCACCGTGAACCGCTGTTAAAACTAATTTCAGCACGTTCGACTTACTTTGAGAGGTGAAAAAAGAAATGATCACCCTTTGACGGCTGTTACGAAAGTCATGCGCTAGCAGTGAAAAATTTGATTGAATATAGTAGCCGAATCACGTATGAAGAGATTCAGCACGTTGCAAATTAAATCAGGAAGCGTTTACGAGAACGAGTTTTACACGAACACTTTCACGTAGGAGGTTAAATTAGCGTTGGGTGGCGCACAACCACACCGATGCTCAGAAGCGGGCACGCGTCGACCGTACCGTAACATGATTACTAAATTTCAAGCAGGCTTGTCACGACGTGTTTACGATAATATTACAGGGATGAATTTAGAATTTACCAATATGATCCAAAAACGAAGCGCTAGTCGACGATTTTGCTGTTTCAAAATAAACCAACGCCTATAAAGTGAATTGCTTGATTGACATCTATCCTTGATCAAAAGTCAAGAAGCAAATGCGTTTTTACCCCTGAGGACTAAGAAGAAATGCCTCGCTTCTAGTGAAAAGAGTCTTCGGTTCTCTGCACTCACCATACGAAACACAGCAGCATTAAGCTTTTATTTTACGCTGGTGTTATGTGAGAGCGTGGTCCTACGCCGCGTCGGTCAAGCCAGTCCATTTGTGCCACAAACTACAAAAACCTACGTGTAAAGTGCAGTGTACGTGGTAGCGCCATCACGTAAAACGCGACATTTATAGTTAAATAAATTAATACAAATATTAATATACGTATTGTATCAGCTCAAATAACTTGAAATGAATAATTTCAAAATTTTCAAATTAAATTATTTCTTCATTTTATACCTTCAGTAACATTTTACTTCGTAATTAACGTACCTCATAAAGACTTACTTAATATCTTAATAATTTTCATTTCTGCTTGTTTATAGTATACCTGCCTACACGAAAATTTGTTTCATTACCTGTGCGAGGAAAATGGCGGTGCCGTAACTTTGCCTGCTGCGAGGGGCGACGACGCTTGGAAAATCTACTTCAACGAGATCCCCGAGGAGATTGTAGATGAATTCGCTATGAGATATGGAATTGAGGCTATTTATCAAGCTATGACGTAAGTTTCTTTCTTATTTCATAAAAATGTGAAGCCAGCATTAATGTAATGATAACGATTTATCTCACTGTATATCTCCCGCCGCCACGTCAAAGTCACTAGATCTAAGCATTCTTAAAGAGTATTATACTTAACAAGAACTTAATACTTTTAATAAAACGTTCTTCGCTTTACTAGATAATTTGGGGACCATTTGGTTTCTACTGATTTTTGTTTGATTATTTACATTGTGAATGTTGATTACAGACATTTCCATTGTCTCTCAACAAAATACCTCTGTGCCGGCGTACCAGCTGTTATGTCGACGCTTCTTGCCAACATTAATGCATATTATGCACACACAACCGCGTCGTCAGCTGTATCGGCATCAGATCGATTTGCTGCGTCAAACTTTGGGGTAAGTTTTAGCTATTAATTAATGGCTTCTTCTGGTACGTATATTTACTACCACCGAAATTCCAAATTCCAAAATTTTTTTTTTATATTGACGATATTTATTATTTTAAATACACCGTGCAGTTTTGGTGTGAATATCCACTACTCCAAATCGTTCCTTGATTGTCGTGAAAGGCACAGAGCGAAACAACTAGGAAAATAAAAAGGAAATAATAAAAAACTACAATTTCCTCACCCCCTCCCTATGAGGAAATCTTTAGAGAAGACCTGTGCTTAGCAGTGGACTTGAATAGACTTTAACGGTTAAATACAACATTCTTTTATTATATACATAAAGCTACTAAAATATCAATTTTTCTTAATTTTATTTCGTATTTTATTTACACTTGTTTTAATTTATTATGGCAACAAATCCTCATTCAACGTCAACAAGTGACCCGACCCGAAGTGGTTGGCACTCTCTCGCATCCTCAATAGTAATTTTGCTTCGAGTGAATTTACATTCTAAATCAAAAATTAGGTCAACTGTTTATTCAGTTGCATAATAAAATTTATTTCGTAATATCTCTTTTAAATAAGACACTTCTTATGAGAGCTATAATTTAAATCGATTGAATTCAATATAAAGCAATTTGGGTTTTTAAATTCGAGGGGAACCGTTAACCGCAACATACTCTACGAAAAAGCTTGACAATGCTCCAATAAAATCATACTTTTGCTGCCTTCTTGGTCTAGTGATTGTAGTAGTGCGACTGCTGATCATGAGGTCCCGAGTTCGAATTCTGGGTCGGACCAAAAAATCAGCTATTGGGTTTCTCCATCAAGAAATTTCCGTAGTAGTCAGCAGTTCAACCCTGCCCGGAGTCAAGAAGTTGGCAATGTCTCACCTTCGTGCCTCGGAAAGCACGTAAAGCCGTTGATCCTGCGCCTGATCTCTCTCCTGTAGTATCGGATTACCGTCCCATCAGACCATGAAAGTAAGGGAATAGAGAGTGCACCTGTGCTTGCGCATACACTACACTTGTACAATATAATCCTGTCCTGCGTCGATGGTTAGTATCCGTTGAAGCCGTGACCAATATTCGGACCGGAGGACGTTATTATAAAATTATACATTTTATAAATATATATCTTGTTCATTATTTTCAATCTCTAATAACTTCCACAAAACATCATAACGAAACTTAAAACTCCATCGCAATTATTAATGAGATGCACATATTAAAAGTGATTATCGTCATAAAAGTCATTACAAGCATAAAATGTTAAAAGAAAGTAAAAACGCTCTTAATACGGCATTTACCAAAGATAATGTCGGCTTTAACGCGTTTTACAATAGCGATCTCAAATAATAATTTCTCATCTCCACCCCGCTGACAATCTTCTATTCTTCTCCTATTCCTCCTTAAAATATTTTATTGTAATTATATTTAAAAGGACCATTAAACTTTGACATTTCATCCCCAATTCGATTGCTTTTTGTGAATTAAGAGCTTGAGTCTATAATGGTCAGACTTATCATTAAAGTCTCCAAAATGTAGCCCTCGCCGCATTAGGCATAACTTTAAATAAATTACTTGTTTAATTACCCCTTGTTTGACGGGTTTTACTTACAATGCTTTCGCCTAATGTCAGAGTAATTTTAAGTTTTATTGTTTAACCAACATAAAAGCATTCATGAAATGTTGTGAACAGTATATGTAAGTAGGTCAAACCGGGCTTAGATCCTTTTTATGCTATTTAAAATTTTATATTTTTCACGAACTCTTTTCAGATTTTTTATGTAGCAATTCTTCTTATTTACACTCACCGCTATATTTTTTTAGAAACAATAAAACAAAAATATATTTAAAAAATATTGTTGCATGTAGCAAAAAAATTAAAAAATTGGATTTTGTAACATTCAACTTTGACTTAACTTATACATTATATTTTAACTCACACAATGACAATATTTTTGCTGTCTTGTTACTTTTTTTAAAAAATCACCAAATCATGCTTGTAATAAACATTAATTAAAATATCGGGGTTAACGGATAAAGAATGCCTTAGGGCGTTAAATTCGTCCATTGTTACCCTTATTGGGTTACAATGGGCGGGTTTAAATAAAGATTTATAAGATTTATAAGAATAGTGGATATTTTGTATATCGACTGTAATACAAACAGAATTCCTATATTAATATTTGTTTCTATTACTATACAACGTAATTTTATACTTTAGTAAGCTTTTAAAAATATTATAAAATAAAATGACAACAGTTTAATTTTTAATAAAAGTTCTTCAAATGGTAACACACAGAATTTCTCTTAATTCATTAAAAATTTAATCCCTTGTTTTTCCACTCTTAGGTATTGAATTTTTCTTTAAATTTACACGGAATTCATCTAAATTTGATCATTTAAATCTATTCAGCTGTTTTCAAAAATTGGTGATTTTATATACAAAAAAACATACGTTTCTATATAGAAACTTCACCGTTTTTTTGAACTCTTTTTAAAATATAATGATGTACTCAATTTTGTATCATATGATTACCCATGTCAGTGGAACGGCAATTGAACATGACTAAATTTTACCGAAACACTTTTTATATCACTCATAATTCCTTATCATTTTCAGAAAGAAAAGTTTGTCAAGTTGCTTGATCAGCTGCACAACTCCTTAAGGATAGACTTGTCGATGTACCGAAACAACTTCCCAGCATCCAGCGCCGAAAAGTTGATGGATCTCAAATCCACTGTCGATTTGCTGACTAGCATTACATTCTTTAGAATGAAGGTATTATTACATTCTCCTATTGAAATATTTTATTTCATCAATAAATACTAAGTGATACCGGGAGGAAATTATATTAGATGTTTTGTTCGTGCAAATTTTGTAAGGTCACGATATTTTAATGCTTGCCAAAACAAAACTGCGGGTTTGTTATTGCTGCAGCAGTAAAAGCTGGCACGATTGGCGAAAGACCACACTACCATACAATATCAGCGTGAAAAAACAACATCACGCTTATATGAATTGTGTCGTGAGGATCGGAAACCCTTTTTACTGATAACGGAGTATGACATTTTAGTCCTTAGAAGTTTATCTATCTTTTTAATTCTTAATAAATTTGAGATTTACCGTTGTCTATGGGCCGCAGTATCTAAAAACTATCCGCTGAACTGTGTGCTCGTTTGTCAACCCTATTTGAATAAAAAAAAACTAATTTTCTAACGGGTACTTGATTAGTTCTTATGGAATATAAAACACTGTTCGTGTTATGTATTTATTTTTATTTTTAATAAATGAATATCGATATTACTGGCACTACACGATAATTTCATTTTACGAGTAAATTTCCAATATTTCGCCAAAGCCTTAGTAAACTCAATCAAACATATTCATATTTTAACATTTTAAGCGTCCGTATCTACTTATGCATTATTTTTATTTTTAAGGTCCAAGAACTTAGCAGCCCACCACGCGCAAGTACCGTTGTTAAAGATTGTGTAAAGGCTTGCCTCAGGTCTACGTATCAATTCCTCTTCGAAAACTGTTACGAGCTCTATAACAGAGAATTCCAGGTACGTTGTTTTAAATTTTAAAAAGGGGAATAATTCATATGAGCTACATTTATTACACCTTTTGTGAATTATACGCAGCGTTACGATGACGACGAGTAAGATGTTAATTATAATAAAAGCAAAAGAAATATGTATTTATGTAAATCATAAAAAATGTTACAATTTTTTTATTAATTAAGTCATTATCATCTTAGGTGAACATTCCGTAATAGCCAGATTAGCGGGTAATCGCCTTAAACGCTTCTTCTAATAGATATTTTCAGTATAGATCCTTTATTGTGTTACTATTTTAAAAAATATCGAGACTGTCAGTCAGGGTTCGGAACAAATTACAAATTTTAATTTATTGCCATAGGTATCATGAAAACTTCAAAATTCTGGCACTGGTTCTATTCTTACCTGTGTATTCTGTGCCGGTTGATAAAAATAAACAACTTATTTGTATAGTGTTTACGACTTGCAATCATTTACTAACTTTAGTATTTAAAAAGTTAGAAATGTGATTAGAACCATCACAGTTTTAAATTTTTAGCTTACAGTTTTATCACCGTTAAATGAATTTTGCGAATTCCTAATATAATTATTATAATCGGGCGTTAATTTGCTGAAATTCATTATATTAAATTTGATATATTTTACTTCGCCTATAACCCATATCCGCTCAATAAAATATGAAAAAAAAAAGTTGAAGAGCACTGCTCTTCAAACTAGGTAAGACACATCATTTTATTTCATGGAGCGGATATGGGCGAATGAATTCTTATCAAATTTAATTCCCAATATAGTGTTACTAAAACTAGAGTCTATTTAATAACTTAACCTTGACTAAAGTAGTAAAATACAACTGCAAAATGTAATTATTATAGAACTATAAAATTCCTAATTTAATTATAGTATTTCATTTACTTAATTAAATATACCTCTTGTGGCTGTTGCCCGCCCTTTTTTAATTGTTCATTAATTTTTATTTGTCTGCGACATAATTGATTTTAATGCCCAATTTCATTTGTATAGTATCGACCGCTTACTTTATATAATATTAAATTTTCATTTTTAGGTTGATCCTAATGAAGCCAAACGTGATCCGTCAGACCACGGACCTCAATTGGATTCGGTGGACTTCTGGCACAAACTAATCGCTCTCATTGTATCTGTGATCGAAGAAGATAGGAATAGCTATGCGCCCGTTCTTAATCAGTTCCCACAAGAGTTGAACATTGGTCAGGTATGGTGTAAGTCTAAAATAAGAATGAAATCTAAGCTCCAACATATTGCTGATATTAATATGAATACAGTAAAAGTAAAAATAAAATAAAATCTCTTTACATGGTAAAGTCACGCTGTATTATTGTTGTAACACGAATGGGTTGGCTCGACCGGGGAAAAAACACACTCTTACAAAATACCTACCAGCATAGAATAGCAGCTTAATGCTGGTTTTCTACGTTGGTTGATAAGTGAGGCATGCTATCTTAACCCTTAAGGTTGACAACGCGACTGCATTTTGATTATTAATAGATGATAAGTATTGATGCCTATAAACCACAGTCTCAACTTACCATTTGATTATTACCCTTTTTCTATACAAAAAAGTTACAAAAATACACACAGCATAGGCCTACTCACATTTCTGAGAGTCAGTGAGCAAACATGAATTAATGAGTACAGAGTTGAAAAATAAAAACCATACTTTATTTAAAAATAAATCTTGTGTCAAATCATGAGATCATGATGTTGAAATGTGGCCAACGAACTAACTGTCTACCTGATGTTAGGAGACTTCTTCAGTCTATATACACCTATCCTTTTCAAGCAAAGAAGGTCGCAGATGCGTTAACACTCTTAAAAACAAGATTAATGTTCCTCGTATACCATAATAATACAATCTCCGTTACCCTTTAAACTGAAGCAGCAGTAAATACATTATTTTCTGGTGGTATAAATAGGTAATTAGGTGTTAATTCTATAACTTTTATTTAATTGCTTGTGACGATATTATTTCAGTTATCAGCCGCGACCATGTGGTCACTCTTTGCTGTTGATATGAAGTACGCGTTAGAGGAACATGAACAGCACAGGCTATGCAAGTCTTCTGCTTATATGAATCTGCATTTCAAGGTAAATAAATATTAAAAACAAGTACCAGGCATTAACCTTAGTCATTATTTTAAACTAATATAGCGATGATGACGGTGATCAACTTAGACAACGTCGACAACTTTCTAATATTATCGTAAAGTTAGCTGTGCAAGAAATATAATAGTGCCAAAGTATCCATACTAACATAGAGGTACTGATGCGTCCTCACCAACCCGTGCCCAAAATAATTCATTGTGATAAGATGAAAGCTAGGTTAGAATGCAATATCAGAGACACGTGGACAATCTCATCACAACCCAACAAGTTGTGTTTACATATATTTGGTTCCGGTGAAAAGGCTTTGTAGCCCTACAATCACAAATAATCTTCTTAATTAAAAATAGAGGTCGTTTTTTAGCTTCAAGAATATTCTATTATCACAACATTTAGCACGCAGATTGGAGATTGGAGAGCTGGAACATATGCATCATAGACGCTGCTCCCCGTTGTAGGTCTTGATGTTTTGGGTTTAGTATTCTTGAGACATTTATGCTACCAACTGTTAAATACTACTTGACTAGTCCGATGACTAATGGTAAAATTTTACTATACTATGGCTTAAGACGGAATGCGGATGGTCTTTTCTTCATACAAAAACTCTCGACTGTTTTCTTTTTTCTTGTTTATGACCTTATAGCAATGATTTTTTACAGTAAAATAAATATCAACCTCTTCTGTGTCCCTATGTTTTCATTTTTGATGATATTTTATCTTTATGCACTAAAACCCTTACAAAATGTTCAAAATTGCCCAATTAGACCGCTGTCAAGAAAGGCCTAGTGTTCAAATTTGATAAGTAATACTGAAAAAAGAAAAACATAGAGATGCAGTATGTATCCTTCTTATTCAGTTTATGAAACATCTTTTAAATTGGTCCAATATTGGAAGAGAAAATGGTAGAGAGCCAAACCTAGAATTATGCCTTTTTACTTAGGCTATTCAGTCGGATCTGCAGTTATCCTTATCGCACTCGTGCTCGCAGAGCGACAGCGATAGTTTCTTCAAATACCTAATTTTCAAAAGTTTCTCGGCCCGCATTTCCTTTAAAAATAACGACCTTGTTTGTTGTTTGCCTTACGTAAAATACTCAAACCGACGGCGACGGGAAGTAGCATCAGAAGACGCCTCGCGTCTAGTAGGCACTGCGTTCATCATTCCGCCTCCTCTTAACTACACCATTCAACGAGAGAGGACCATTACGACTATCACAGGTTAATAAATGAGAAAAGAAGCATATTTAAATTCTACCATACTTACAAAATGGGAAATAGGGATTATTAAATAGGGACATTGGATAACGCCACCAAAATATGGCACATACAAAAGTATAAAAGCGATTGTACATGTGTATAAAGAACAATTATTTTATTTATATTATAATCATAAGTATACAAAATATTCTTGCACACACCAATATAAATTACCATTTGAACTAAAAATGAATCCTTTAGCTTATCAATTGTATTCCTATTTCTTGTTGATAATGAGATTCGACATAATATTGGTTATGTTTATGTTAAATTAGGTGAAGTGGTTACACACAAATTACGTTAAAGACGTGCCTCCATACTGCGGCGCGGTTCCGGAATACCCAGCTTGGTTTGAACCATTCGTAATGCAGTGGTTGAACGAGAACGATGATGTGTCTCTAGAATATCTCAACGGAGCCTTTAATAGAGACAAGAGAGACGGGGTAAGTGTCGAAATTCTGGTGCTAAAATATTTAAAAAAAAATTAAGTGATTTCTTAAGTTTTGGCAATAAAAATGCATACGATATTTTCCTTATAATTAAAGATTGAAATTAATGACATATTTTTATTTTAAGCCATATCCGATAATACAACAGTGATCATATTTTTATTACTTAGCATTATTATTAGTATTTCTATGATCTAATAATAGAATTAAGTAT